CAAGGAGTGGTCGAAACTACACATCACCTTTGGAGAAAGCTTTGTTTACTCCGAGTTGGCAAGTAAATCATGTCACTAGATTTTTCCCATGTCACTTATGATCATTGTAATAGAGAATGTAATCGAGTAGCTAATGACCTAGCAAGATTAGCTAGGTTTCTTCTCCGAGTGTTTGGATGGTTAACGCCCCTCATGAGGTTATCCCTTTCCTTGTAAATGATGCTACTTTACTTATGAATGAATGAAGCAGAAGAATTTATAAAAAAGGTAGATTTTGTAAGTTTCAGTCCATATCCTTTTTTACTTTCTTGTGTCGGGATCTAATTTTTTTTTACTTTACTCAGAAAACTGGGTGAAAGCCTATTTAAAAAGTAGTTTTTATCTACTTAGGGTGTTTCAAATTTGGCTGATTTGTGTTTAAACTGACTCATGCCATGTAATCTCTACAATAACAGCATCTCTAGTGGGAAAAAAAATCAAAAACTCATGCCATATCCAAAAAAGTCAAACAAATTATGGGATTAATCTTTTTCTTAATTAGCAGATCCTATAAAACTTAATCCCTGATTTTTTTATTATTTTGCCAATTCATCCAACCGTAAACATAAAAACTTAAAAATATTATTTTTCGAACTAATCCAACCTTAAACATGGAAACTTAAAAATATTATTTTGTGAATTAATCCAACTGTTTCTATACTTAGGACAACATATTAGCAAGATTGTAAGAATCGTGATTTTGAATCGGATCGGAGCTCCGATGGTAGCATCGCTAATCGTAGAATCTTAACTATCAGGATTGTAGAAACATTGATTCTATGAACTAAAATTGTAGAATCGGAGAGGTTAGTTTCGATCATAAAGTCATAGAATTGTATAATAGAATCGTGATTCTGACAATCTCGCATATTAGTTCAATACTTCAAATTCAAGTACACACAATTCAAACACATAGTAAATTTAATGTTCTCAAACATAACTATGCAGTAAACAAAGTGCCGCATTCTCATCCCTCGCAGAAAGAATCAATCTCGAAAGAAGTGGCATATCTGACAGGGTAGCAAATAGATTTGCACAGTCAACAGTGCTTACATTTTCAATCGACACACTTCTTAGCTGCATCAGGTTCTTCAGCAGCTCGGCAAGGTTATTGCTCGATTTCCCGGTCTCAAGAGTTTGAAGAACCTACAAATTCCACAACTTTTCATGTGCTTGCACTCCGATAAATTTCAGAAACTCCGCCAGCTTCTCATCATCGTATCTATTAGTTAAAAGGTGCCGCAAGTTCTTGATCCTGACAATCCCTCGTGGTAGCTTCTCTATTTTCACTTGCTTGATGTCTGGAGTCTGGAGGTTAGACAGATTCTCAATACAATCCGGAAGTGATCTGACCTTGGTGTGTCTTAAGCCGATGTAACGCAGAATGAATAAATGCCCTATCAATGTTGGCATTTCGCTGACATGGGAGTCTTGAAGCTAGAGAATAGTAAGGTAGATGGACTCAGACAAAATAGAAGATAGCATGCTAGGAAAGGATGAAATTCCTCCATGTGACACTAAAGTTCAAAGATGCGGAAGTTTAACTTCCAGCGCAGTTAACGAACATCCTTATCAATTTGTTCCATTGTGTAGTGCTGAAGCGAAACTCCCTTCTTTAGCAATTGAGATATCCAGGTCACACACAATAGCACATCTCACAGGTTTTGACCCTGCCAAGCCCATCATTCTTCACAACTTCAAGCATATTTCGGCGGACCAATTCCATGATATTTTTCTCAGCTACCATCTCTGCTGTGTCCATGCCTCTACTCACCAAAAGGCCTTCTGAAACCCACAGCTGTACCAGGCTCTCACGTGACCTGGGAGGGTCTTAAGGGAACATACTGGAGTACAAAAGGCAGTCTTTGAGGTCGCCTGAAAGGTCATGGTCGCTCAAATCTAAAACTGCTCTGATATTATCATTATTTGAGAACTCTCTTCGAAGCTGATTGTGCTTTTGAATCCAAATGTCTAATCGTTGTCTTGAAGATAGCATGCTGCTAGTGGTAACAAGTGCTAGCAGCAGGCCATGACACAAGTCAACTATAGAAGTAGCAACTGCCTCAAGCTCCTCGGGGCACATGTAGCCGTTGTTTCTGTAAAAGCCCTTCTGCAGAGAAGGTCAAAATGCATCAGGCTGACTCAACTGTTCGAGCCGAAGGCGACCGGTGGGAGAAGAAATCATGGCAACATGTTCGTTCCGTGTTGTGATGACGATGCATCTTCCTTGGAAATTCTGGAGAGCATCATGTATATGGAAGTATACCTCTTGCTCCCTGACATCATCCAGTACAATAAAACATTTTTTTTCAAGTCTTTGGTGTATTTCCTTCTTCAATCCAAACATGTACGTTTTGTCAGTTCCTCCTGCCAATGGCATCAACACTTCAACAGTATAAGTTTGTGGCACAGTGCTCCATGCATGTGCATCGAAATTGTTTTTTTCATGTCTATAAATATTTTAAACCAGGGTAGATTTTCCCAACCCACCCATGCCCGATAGTGTTATCACAGTGCTCTCGGGCTCTTTGGAGTAAAACCATCCGGTCAGCAATATAATGTTGTCTTCAATTCCTACTAGATATTCATCTTTGACAAATTCTGAGACATTGAGGCATCTTAGTAAGTTGGTTACGGACAAGCAGGGTGGGTTGCAACCATATATCTTTCTTGTTCATAAGTAACAGAATCTCCTTCTCTACCTCAACTACATCATCCAAAACTTAACTGAAAAGTTTGACATAGTCTGGTCCTTTGAGGAAAACTTTTTTCAGGAATCCTTCTTTCTGATGTTGAAGAATATGGTATGATAATTTGTCAATTACATCTTCGACGTGATAGGACAGTTTGCGGGCCTGTCCAATACAACTCTTGGCAACTTCGTCTGTGTCGTACTCTCTTCCCTATAACACTTCCTGACATTAATAGTGGCTCACTTATTTGCTAGACCTTCACTGGCAATTCCTTCCTATTAGTAACTTCATCAGACAGTTTATATATGCTAGCCCCAGCATGGACTACAACCGTGGGCACATCTGCTGCACAACAAAGGCAAGGATCATATTACATGGTGGAATAAGAAGTTTCATTCAAATTGAGCTCTGATAGTCATATATGAAGAGGAATATTCTCATATAGCCCCATAGTATTTCACAGTTCCCAGTACCCCTTATGTTCCAAAATGTAAGATGCATTCTGTAGACAAGGCTTTGACCAACAACTAACATATATGTGAAACAAAAATCGTAATCATAAGACCTGGAGAAGGACGATATATAAGTTTCATCGTGCCTTTCCCATAGAGATATGTCCTCGAGGAGAACATATACAACTTTCCTCCACTTGTCTATCCACTCAATTTAGTGTGGACGCCGAGAGCTGAACTCGGCAAAATGTGGAGCATGATAAAGACAGGCCATTGCCAAGAGACAAGTAAAAGGAACACGGCAAACGAAAGAAACTCAGGAACGGTGTCATATGCCGAGACCCAACCAGTAAGCTCACGGCAATGGGGTGCCACGTGGCAAGTCCGTCAGTAGTTGACAACTTTGTGATGGTGGGTAAACTTTGCCGAGAGGCCGTGCCTTGGTACTCGGCAAAGCGTCGTTTCATTGCCTATTTCAAGCATTACCTGGATCTCAGAAACCAAGAAGATACCAGATGAACAGCACGCTAAAGCAGTATATCTTATATTACTACTCTCATCCATTTAGTTACTTCAAGTATATCTCACCACTATTCACATCCATTTAGTTCCTTCATTGATTCTTGTTGATGAAGATAGCTTATTCGCAACTCGCGTTGGATGGAGCGCAACCACCAGAGCATCAAAAAGCTGTTGAGCCCGCTACAGGAGACACACACACACACGAAAGTCTTAACTTGTGCGTTGTCGCTTCTGATTGTTCTCTTGCGGTGGCTCACGAGCAATATCGTGCTATCCGGCTTCCTCCTGGGCTAGCATGAAACGGATGATATTGGGCCTTTGCATGCCCATCATTGGCTGGATTGCCACGATGGTGATCTACACTTTTTCAAGGTGTTTGGGGTGCAACTGCAAGCTGCTCAGACGAAACAATGGCATAGCTAAGCGAATGACGGGAGGGGGGCGCCCCAGCCTTGAATAAAATAGTCACTGTTATCCTAGCATATAATCATTATTGTGAGACCAGTTATTTTCTCAAGAAAAGAGTAATCTTTTTTCTCTTTCGCAGAAAACAGTAGTTGTTTTTATTTTGCAGGAAGCTAGATTCTTGTCAACGAGAAAAAATAAAATAAAAGGACTAGCGTTTATTTAAGCCACATAGACACAACACATGGAAACAAACCAGGATACAAATTGGACTGATCGACCAATAGCAAAGCTCGACTGCTTTTGCTCACGTAAGCTAGCTCCGTTCAAAACATACGACAAACCATACACAGAGGATTGAAGGAACAAAGGAAACAGCCAATCGACGACGACAAGGACATACGCATGCACCATTAATGGGAACCCGAAGATGAGGTGCCGACCGCTACGCACTTGCCACCGCCGGTAGGGGGGTTGTCTTTCTTGAATTCGAACCCGGCATCGCACTTGACTACGTTGGTTACAACGCACTCGCCGCCGCCGTGAATGGAGGGATCTTCCTTGAATTCGAACCCAGCGCCGCACTTGAGTAAGGCGGCTACAACGCATCCGCCGCCGCCGCTCATGGAGGGATCTTTCTTGAATTCGAACCCGGCACCGCACTTGACTACGGCAGCTACGACGCACCCGCCACCGCCGCTAATGGATGGATCTTCCTTGAATTCGAACCCGGCACCGCACTTGAGTACGTCAGCTACGACGCACTCGCCGCCGCCGCTAACGGAGGGATCTTCCTTGAATACCAACCCGCCGCCGCACTTGAGTATGTCGGCTACGACGCACATGCCGCCGCCGTTAATGGAGGGATCTCTCTTGAATACCAACCCGCCTTCACACTTCAATACGTCCTCTGCAAGCATCCTGCCAGCCACCGCGGCCGGCATGATGGAGCTCAGCTGCAGAACGACGCCGACCAGGACAAGGAGCAGCACGGTATTTCGGGCCAGGGAAGCCATCAATACCGAAACGTGGAGCTTTGCTTTTGTACTAGGCAGGTGGCAATGTAATGGGGACTCGGAGGTTAACGTGTGTGCTGCGTAGTGCGTACCTGGTGTTGGTTTGATGATTCTGTTTGTGCCGTGGACAATCGTTTATATAGGGAAGGGATGCAGGGGAGACGGCCGGTGTGATCTGCGTGGATGTTTTTGTTTCATTAGCGTTTAATAAATTTCCCATCAACTAATGCAAGCTTGAATAGATAGATAGACACATATAGTTCAAAATTAATGGTCTTGCACTTGCACGCACGTCCTACCAAGCTGTGCGCCACGTCTAATGTTTTCTTGTTATTCTGAAGGATTTTGTTCGATCAGGTATGCTTAAATTATGGTATGATTAATCCATTTAATGTAGTTTACAGTTAAATCATTCAGGCACGCACCACGAGTCCAGCTATCTGGGCAACGTGCTTAAGAGTTACGCGATTTGCTTAGTTAGTTAAAACCATGATTTGCTTATCAGTGCTAACCACGGACTCTTGCTTAGCTAGTGCTGTGATGTGCTGGATCACGAACGTCGCCATGTGTGATTGCATAGCTTACTTCGGTAGGAATGACGACGAGACACTCACTACTCTACCCGAGAGAGGATTTCGGGCATGCAAATGCGGGGCCACGCACATTGTGGACTGTTGATGTGCGCCAAAATTCGCTCATATGTTTTTGTATATGGTCATTTTGTGTTGTATATGACTTCAGATATGTCCATAATGTTATGTATATCTAATCACATATCTATTTTTTCATGGGGCCAAATAACTGTTCGTGTGGGATATGTACGGTAAGTGAATCTGCACATATAGAAGTCCGAAGAAAAATGATTTATTCGCTGTCGTGGTTCTAAGTCTGACAGTAGAATGGGGGTAGGTATGGAGAGGCAAGATCCTAGCTATGGACCAGTTGTACACACAAGTGTTTTACGAGTTCAGGCCCTTCTCGGAAGAAGTAACAGCCCTACGTCTCGGAGCCCTGAGGCGGTCGACTGGATTATGTGTGTGAAAGGTACAGAGGTGTGAACCCTTCTACCAGTGGAGGGGGGTGGCTTATATAGAGGACGCCAGGACCCAGCCAGCCTACGTAGCAGAGGGTTAAAGTACATTAAGGCCTGGCGTTACTGGTAACGCCCTACATAAACTGTCATCATGACCATTAAGTCTACTTAATTACAGACCGTTTGGATACAGAGTAGATCTTGAACTCCTGGTGGTCGAGTGAGTCATCATGGTCGAGTGTCTTCAGGTTTGTCGAGTGTCTCCTAGCCGGTCGAGTGGAATCCCTCTTGGTCGACTGAAAGACGGCTTCTTCTAAGAGAGGTCCTTGGGGAGGGTACCTTGGACAGGTCCGTAGCCCTACCCTAGGTACATGACTTCATCAGTAGCCCCCGAATGGATCGAGGTTTGAGTGAGGACAGAGTGGGCAGTCTTTCCGACCTGCTTTCTGGTACTGTAAAGGCGTTTTTGCTAAGGATCAATGACTTTTAAGTGAGGGTGTCAACTTTCTTCAGTCGCCTTGATCCATTCTTTATATCTGTCGAGTGAACTTTATGAACTTGGAGGTTTCCGAGCGACGGATCGCAGGAGATCTTCCGTCTGACAAGTTGCACTGTTGGTTAGCGGATTTAGTGGGATCCGGATTTTGGGAAGCGCGCGAAGCGGAGAACGCCACAGTACTCGGACGGGATAAGGCAGGGACTCCTCGATCTCTGTGCCGCCTTTTTCGCCACGTATCGCATGCGCAACTGTTTCGGGATTTGACAGGATTGCCTGGGCCTACCTGTCAGCCACTCGGAAGTGCCCCCATATAAGGAACCAGGCGGAGGTTTTCCGAACAGTGCTTCCTCATTCTCTCCTCCCTCGTCTCCAGATTCATCTGATGCACTCGCCATCCGCCCAGCGCCGCTGCTCCGTTCGGGCTTCGTCGGCGGCAATGGTGATGGAGAAGACGGCAGCTTTGGAGCGGGCAAAGAAGGCGACGGCGCAAGCGAAGGGGAGAGCGCCCGGGGTGGATCCTCGTCGCGGTCTCGCCTGCCGCAGGGTTGGATTCAAGGAGATTGGATCCGCTCGACCATCACCCAGAAGGACCTCGATGACCTAGCCAATGAGGGGCTGATCGAGCATGGAGCAGCGAGGCTTCCGGGGATGGAGTGTCAACCGCAACCTCAAGAGGGTGAGTGCCTCCTCTTGGCGACTCATGTAGATCGAGGGTTTTCTTTGCCGCCGCATCTTTTCTTCTGAGGATTTCAGAATTTCTTCGGAGCTCAGCTCCACCATTTCACTCTGAATTCCATCGCCTATCTCTCCGCCTTTGTATCACTGTGTGAGAATTTCTTGGGTTGCCGGCCACACTAGGGCCTCTTCAAACATATATTCACTTGTCGTTTCCAGACTGTGAAAAAGGCCAGCCCCAATGACGAGAGAACCCAGGTGATCCAGATGTGTGGGGGTCTAGGGGTCCAGATGAGGAGCAAGAGCGCTTTCCCTGCTATGACCCTTCCCGAGTCGGTCAGAGGGTGGCAGTCGACCTGGTTCTACTGCCAAGACCGGTCAACGCCAGGGCAGTCGACCGGGCTCCCTCCCTTCTCCATGAGTCGAGTGAACAAGCCCTCCTCTCTGAAAGTAGTTCCGGAGGAGAAGGCTCAAGTGAAAATGTTGATGGAGCGAGTAGTTCAGTTGATTCGTGACGCTGTGACCGGCATGGATCTTCTGGAGGTTTTCCTTCGGCGGCGCATCCAACCACTCCAGTACCGGGGCCACCCGATGTGGCTGTATTCTGGTACTGAAGACACTAGTCGGGTCCACCTAGAGGAGGTCGACAATGCTACATTGGAGAGGTGGATGACTGCCATCACGGGGAACAAGGACAACCCTCGGGGAGCTAGGAGGATCGTTCCACTCGACCAGTCTTATGAGGTGGACAAGGTACGAATATTTTCCTCCGATTGCTCCGTCCATTATGTTTTGTCGTAGATCAGTCGATTGACTTTTGTCTTTCTTGGTTGTCTTTCAGGAAACCACTGAGTTCCACTCGATGCCCAACGGGGCGCAGGCGCAGGCCGAAGAGGAGGAGGGAAGCGGAGGCGAAAGTCACAAAGAGTGGGAGTCGGACGCCGACGAGGGTGAGGAAGACGCAGGTTCTGATGAAGAAGAGGAGGAGGAAGTTGCGCCTCCTCGTTCCGAAAGGAGGTCCAAGCTCGCCCATGATCCTGCAGCTGATCGTGGCAAGGGAGTCACGCCAGCTGGGCAGTCGACCAAACGCCCTCGGACAACTTCGCCGGCCCCGACTGAAAAGGCGTCGAAGCAACCCCGAGCGGCCCCGTCAAAACCGGCGAAAGCCCTACCGAAGATGAGGATGGAGATCCCGACTGTCTCTGGGTAGCGGTCATAACTCACGTTTTTCATTTTTGGTCGATTCAATCGCTGACCGACTGATATTTGCAAATCGCAGTGCTGCTACTTCCGAGAGTTCAGCTAGGCATGAGGACCAAGAAATGGAAGATGCTGCGACTTCTCAGCCTGGTATGATCTGCGCGGTTTTGCTTTTGGTCGATTGAATCTTTATTTTTGACTTTGAGCTTCTTCTGCAGCTCCACCTAGCGTTGTCATCAATCTTCCTGACGATGACGACGAAGCGCCGCTGAGGCAGAGGAGGAGTAGGAAGGCGACTGTTGGCAAGGCTGCGCAGGTTACATCGGCGCCTGGACCACAGATTCCTAAGGGGGGCAATGTTGCTCGGGCTACCGTGTCCTTTGCGGAGCCGTTGACGGTTGCCCACCCTTCATCGTCGAGTGCTGACTCGCCTTCTCTCTTCTCCACCTACCACGTCCCGGAGGACCAAGAAAGTGCTGCTAAGGAAGCCATACGCCAGGCCGGGATTATGATGGAGCTGGTGAAGGCGATCTGAACCGCCAGCCAAGCAGCTTATGACGCGAGCTCAGCCCTCCAGAGCAACGTCCAGGTTAGTTGAACACCGACTGGAAATCTTGATATTTTGTCATGCACCCACTGGGTGTGTTGATTGTACAGTGGACTGCTGGCAGTCGACTATAGTCTTTGGATTTCTCAATTTACTTGTACCACTCGACCATGGTCGAGTGGAGCAATAGAACTAGTGGGGGCACGCTGAGTGCACCCACTGGGTGTAGTCCCCGAGACCGTGGTCGATTGCTGGCAATCGGCTATGGTCTGAAAATTTCTCTCTTATTTTTTTTAAACAGTTAACTGCTTTCGGTCGACTGATCGACTCTGAGTGTAGCCGGTAGAACTAGTGGGGGCACGCTGAGTGCACCCACTGGGTGTAGTCCCCGAGACTACAGTTGAATGTTTAAATTCGTCTGTAGTCTTAGAAACAGTACGATTTTTCCTTTAGTCACTCGGAAGTGATCTGCCGTTGATGTTTGTCGACTGAACTTTCGCAGAAATCTTGTGATCTTGTTTCTCGTTATACCGATTTGGAGAGCAAGTTTATCCAGCTTGAGCTTGACCAAAAGCTTGTCCAAGAGAACTTCACGAAGGAGAAGGAGGAGGCAAAAGGTATGTTCGGTGAGAATCTTGACGACTGCCCTCGCCTCTTGTCTGTCTCTGAATCTGATCTTATTGTGATTTTTTGCAGAAAAACTGAGGGATGCTCTGCAGAAGAAGGACCTTGACCTTGCCGAGGCGCAGAAAACGGCCGCAGACAAGACTAGGCTTGCAGAAGAGAAGTTGGCTTCCGTTAACAAACTTGAAGAAGAAAATACTAATCTGAAAGATGCTCTTGACTTGGCCAACCAAGAAGTCACTCGACTGAAGAACGCCAATATGGTCCTGGACGACAAAGCTAGTGAACTGGTAGGAAAGAAGAATGACTTGGAACAAACTGGGAGGACTCGCCAAAAAGCTGTTCCTCATGCTCGAAGGTAACCTCTTATCTCCGACTGGTAGTTACTGACTTGCTGTAGGGGCGTTAGCTTATACTTGAAT